ATTCCTGGAAGAGAGGGTCAAACAGGACCACCAGGTCCTCAAGGAATCAAAGGTATAATCAAACCGAAGAGTCTTCAATTATTTGTCTATCTTAACAGGAACCAAGGAATAATAATGTTCTATTGTTGTGTGTGCTTTAGGTGATGTGGGACGTCCAGGACCTGCTGGACAAACGGGTCTACCAGGTCCACCAGGAAAAGGCTTACCTGGCGTTCCTGGGCCCCAAGGACCCCCTGGAGAGCCTGGACCTGTTGGTAAGATAAAAGAGTTGACAATGTTGAATTCTAGACTTGATGGATACAACTGTTGCAAAGAGAAGAAGAATGAAATTAACAGAACTACAAACTAAAACTTGATTCTGTGTGGCTGTACACTGTAAACAGGAGGGATAGGTGTGAAGGGAGACAAGGGTTATCCTGGTGTTCCTGGACTGGACATGCCAGGGCCTCAGGGAGAAAAGGGAAGTCAAGGATTTCCAGGACCTCCAGGCCCTAAAGGATATCAAGGTTCTCCCGGATTACCAGGCAGGGATGGAGTGATTGGAACTCAAGGTAAAGAAAATATATACACATGTAATAATCAAAACTAATTTAACCAAATCTGAAGTATATATATATATATATATATATATATCTTTGTTGCTTTTCACCAGGTTCTAAAGGTGAAATGGGAATCATGGGAACACCAGGTGTTCCAGGATTCCCTGGTCCACCTGGTACACCTGGAAATCCAGGTCTGAGAGGTAAGATAAGACAAATTTATAAACACAAAACAAATATTATTAGTTTATTGTTAATTTTCTTTGTGAGCCCCCATATATCAATAGTGTTATCATTGTGTTAATATACTTGCGTCCCTCTCAGGTGATCCTGGTATCATTGGACTAAGGGGTGAGGTTGGACAGACTGGAGATAAAGGAGAAAGAGGAGAACCCGGTATTCAGGGGCCTCCAGGGAACATGACTGAAGTGGAAATGGAGCACATGAAGGGAGAGAAAGGACAAATTGGAGACAAAGGTGTTTTGAATGATATGAACTCAAAAATGAAAAAAATCTAACTATATATCAGTATCTTAAGAAATACATGCTGCTGTAAACAGTTGGCATGCAATGCTTTAGTTTTCGATTGTATTCACACTGTGCAAAAGGTGACGCCGGGTATACTGGAATAAAGGGCCACCCCGGACTTCCTGGGAACCCTGGAATGCCTGGCAAAGATGGAGAACCGGGATTACCTGGACAGCCAGGTACACACAGTTACTTTAGGACACATATGTGACTCATACTCAAATCTTGAAATTACGTGTCTTATTATCCACCACAAAATGAAAGGATAAGTGACAATATTCTTTCAATGTGTCGTAGGTGAGAAAGGAGATCCAGGTTTTCCAGGAGACCCTGGTTACACGGGGAATCCTGGACAGAAAGGCAGTGTCGGAGAAATGGGAATACCAGGTAAAATACATTGGCTGTAAATATACTGTCTGTATATGTAGTGATTTAGGCTGGGCTTTGGGTTAAATTATTTTAGATTAACTGAATTTACCAGAGATAACGAGTTAATTGGTACCAACAAAGTCAACCAGCCATCAACGTAACCTAACAATTAGATGATTAAAAGGACAGAAATAAAACATGTCTAACTGATGTAGAGAATGTCACCATTCAGCAACTTCACTATATCCCAAAATATAAACAGAAAACACAGAAAGCAATGTTTGTTTGTTCACAATCTTGTGCTTTTGCAGGTCCGGTTGGTCCGAAAGGCTCTAGAGGAGATACAGGAACACCGGGACACCGCGGTTTTAAAGGAACAGATGGGGTGAAGGGAGAAATAGGTGCACCTGGTGATCCAGGTATTGGTCTCCCTGGATTCCCAGGAGAAAAGGTAAACTGCTGGTTGAATTAAATAACATGTTTTTTGTTGTTTACAACTGATGAAGTGACGAATCTATAGGACAGCTGCTTTAGCTTTCTTATTTTTGCATTGCTAAGGGTATACAAGGACAATGAAAAGGAAGAAGATAATTTTTTGAATTTTGAATTTCTTGAATTTTTCTGAATTGCCTTTTTTTACCATTCAAATAGGGCCAGCCAGGTCAGCCAGGATTCCCTGGAGTACCTGGAGAAAGGGGAGACAAAGGCCAAGAGGGAATGCCCGGAAAACCAGGGCTCCAAGGACCCAAAGGAGATAAAGGACTTTTTGGATTTCCAGGTCAAATTTCTTAGTAAAATAATTAAGTATCCAAACAGAACTACGGGATAATGAATCACATGGGGTTTTAATGCTGTCGTTTGTGCTGTACAGGTCAGCCAGGTATACCAGGTGAGAAGGGTACTCCTGGACTTCCAGGCTTTGCAGGAGAACCCGGACGTGATGGTCGACAAGGTACGTTTATCTTTTCACCTTACCAGGCACTTAGTTGCAAGAGTAACATTTCAAAAATCAGGCAAAGTCTTTACACAGTAAAACATTGCTTGTACAAACTTTGTTTCCTAAAGGTGAAAATGGCCTTCAGGGACCGCCTGGAACTCCTGGAGAGAAGGGTGAACCTGGAGTGGATGGCATCCCTGGATCTTCTGGAGAGAGAGGAGACCCAGGTTAGAGTCAGAGAAAGTGACAGAAGAATAAAACAGACACATTTATCCATATTGGGAAGCTGCTAAAGTCGAATTAACCAGTTATTAGAAAATACTTAGTTTATAACATCTTTAATTTACCCCCCATCTAAACATACCCTCCTAAAATACCATTGGTTTTTTATGGCATTTAAAAATAATAAAACAACTATTTTAGTAGATATTCATCTATTTCATTCTGATATTCACAAAATATCAGTGTCATGTAAATAAGCTCAAAGAAACAAACTTTAAATAAAAGTGGATTTAAATTTTTTTTTTTTTTTGTTCTTTTGTTCTTTACAGGTTTACCTGGCCGGGGTTTCCCTGGGCCTCCTGGAACTTTTGGTAGTAAAGGTAACACAAGTCCTTCCGGAACTATTTTACACGTTCCAAGAATCTTTGAACAGAGTATAATTGTGTGTTTTACAGGTGAAAAGGGTAGCTCTGGCATCCCTGGCACTCCAGGTCACCCAGGTGTTCCTGGTATCAAAGGAGATAAGGGTCTTCCAGGCCCAAATGGACCACATGGTGAGCCAGGCGAGAGGGGACTCCCAGGTCTTTCTCTAGAGGGCCCCAAAGGAGAGAGGGGATTAACAGGACAACCTGGAGAACAAGGTAATAGATAAATACTGCCGCAGTACAGTGCACATAATACGTCATTGTTTTTGTCTGAAAAAAATATAAATTTTGGGCTGTCTAAAACAGGAACCCCAGGAGGACCAGGTCCTGCTGGTGTACCAGGCCGTCATGGAGAAAAGGGCGAGAAAGGAGATCTGGGTCTGCCTGGTTTCCCGGGAGAGACGGGACAAAAGGGTGACCCTGGAACTCCAGGATTCCACGTAAGTCTCAAAGTTGTTCATTTTCACACAAGCTGTTAGAGCATAAGAACAAGGATGCTGCTCAGTTTGTACTTACTGTATGTGGCTCCATGTATGCTTGTCTTGTAGGGACAACCTGGTCTTCCAGGTCTAGATGGACAAAAAGGAGAAAGAGGCTTACAAGGTGTCCCAGGATTTCCAGGTAAACATTATCTGACATACACGGTTTGTGTAACATGAAATACATTTTTATACATTAAAATGTTTGACTTCAAACCGCCTTTAGGTACACAGGGTAACATTGGAGACCAGGGCTTCAAAGGAGAGCTTGGAGACAGAGGATTCCCAGGAGAAAAGGGTAATTTAGAATCAAAACCCTTTTTAAGATTAATATTCAAGCTGAACTTCTCATATCATATTCTAGTGGTGTGCTGTCTTGTTACTACAGCAATGTTTATGTTGTATATTCCAGGTAATGTAGGCCCTCCAGGACCTCCTGGGCCCCACACCATAATAAAAGGAGATCCTGGATTTCAAGGAATTCAAGGCTTTCCAGGGCCACAAGGTCCACCTGGATTTCCAGGAGCAAAAGGACAGCAAGGTAACAATCAGACCTTTGCTTTACTTAGCTGAGTATAACCTAATACATAAATAAACAACAAAGGCCTTTTAATAATACTGTAAGAACTGTACTACTGTACCACTTTAATCTGCACAGACTGTATATTTAAACACCAGATTGTTTCCCTCAGGTATCACTGGCTTCTCAGGACCAAAAGGTGAAGATGGACTTCCTGGATATCCTGGTCAACCTGGAGCCAAAGGAGAGCCTGGTCCACAAGGGCCACAGGGTGAGATACACATGTCTGTTTGTCTGTTGATATGGTAAGTAAGTCCTGCAAATAAATTGTATCACTCATGATTTATTATCCTATATAGGACCAAGAGGACATCCTGGTCCACAAGGACCTGATGGTGTCCCAGGTCAACTGGGCCCACCAGGCCCATCGTCCATGGACCACGGATTCCTGGTGACGCGTCACAGCCAAAATGTGGAGGTTCCATTTTGCCCTGAGGGAACGTCGCTGATTTATGATGGTTACTCCCTGCTCTATGTACAAGGCAACGAACGAGCACATGGGCAGGACTTAGGTGAGTGACAGTTACTCAAATTCACAATGAATTTAAAAATTCACAGATGGACATAAAGTTGGGGTTTATTATTATTATTATTACAAGTATAGACCAATGTAGTTGTACACTTTACTCTTCTCTGCAGCTATAGTTAGGATTGGAACAGCTTTGTAGAATTTCATTTACTAGGGAGACATATAATTATTAGCCAAGGAAGATTCTAAATGATCTTGGGTTATTTATGTATACATTGTGATTCCATGTCACAGGTACAGCAGGCAGTTGTTTAAGGAAGTTCAGCCCCATGCCTTTCCTGTTCTGTAACATCAACAACGTCTGCAACTTCGCTTCTCGTAATGACTACTCCTACTGGCTCACCTCCCCTGAGCCCATGCCAATGAGCATGGCACCAATCACCGGTGAAAGCATCAAACCCTTCATTAGTCGGTAAGCTGAGAGTTCAACTCGTGTAAATTTGAGTGGTGCTAACAGGAGAGCTGTTTGGCACCTCATACTGTGAGTGTGTGTGTGTGTACAGGTGTGCTGTGTGTGAAGCCCCAGCTATGGTGATTGCAGTGCACAGTCAGTCCATCATGATTCCTCCCTGCCCACATGGCTGGGACTCTCTGTGGATTGGTTACTCCTTTGTCATGGTAAGAAAATCATGACTTAGTCCTAGTGTCAGCCGCCTAAGAAAACCTTTCTGATTCCCTGAATACACTGTTATTTATACAGCACACCAGCTCTGGAGCTGAGGGTTCAGGTCAGGCTCTGGCCTCTCCCGGTTCCTGTCTGGAGGAATTCCGCAGCGCTCCATTCATTGAATGTCACGGCCGGGGAACATGCAACTATTACGCTAACTCTTACAGCTTCTGGCTCGCCACCATTGAA